AAGATGAGGTTAATAGTAGATTAGCACCAAGTGGTTAAAACTACTTACTAAAACTCAGAAACAGGGGCGCCTGGGTGGCTCAGTGGGTTAAGCCTCTGCCTTTGGCTCAGGTCATGATCTCAGGGTCCTGGGATCGAGCCCTGCATTGAGCCCTGCATCGGGCTCTCTGCTCAGCAGGGAGCCTGCTTCCCCATCTCTCTTTCTCTCTGCTTGCCTCTCTGCCTACTTGTGATCTCTCTCTATCAAATAAATAAATAAAATCTTAAAAAAAAAAAACCCTCAGAAACCGTATAAACACTGATATGCCAGAGACTTGGGGGTTGTTAAAGGCAGCTATGCAGAATTATGTAAAGATTTATGTACCTCTGAAACTTATCAAGAGTCAGAGAGTTAATATTTTATTTTATTATTATTAATTTAAAGATTTATTTATTTGACAGAGAGAGAGAGAAAGAGAGAGAACAAGTAGAGGGAACAGTAGGCAGAAGGAGAGGAAAAAGCAGATTCCCTGCTGAGTAGGGAGCCTGATTTGGATTTGATCTGAGGATCAGGGTCATGACCTGAGCCGAAGGCAGATGCTTAACTGACTGAGCCATCCAGGCACCTCAAAAAGAGAATATTTTAATCTTGGAGTCATTAGGCCACTAGCAAGTACTGTACTAGGACTCTGTCTCTGTTTTGAATCATTTAATGCTATGCTCTTAGCCTTTGCTGGGTACACTAAACATTTGTAACTGTCCATATACATGTCTCATGGGACATTGCAGAAGGCACATCCTCTTCACATCAACCTCCAACATGCTATGGGACTTTAAAATCAATTTTGGAGAATCCATACTTTATAAAATTATCTTATTCATCTCAGAATAGAAAACCTGCAGGTTTTATTCACAACACTGGATTAAGATAGACACACAAATTTGTTAAAGTTTATGATAAACAACCTGGTATCTGCTTCTGGTACTTGTAACTGTATTAAAACTACAAATTTTGAGGTGTTTTTTTGGCAACTAACAATAGGAAGATTTACATCTATAGAGTTCTGAGATGTAAGATATATTTACTGTAACATAAAACTTCATGTAGTCACTGAAAACATGTATTTTATCGTTACCCTTTAGTATATAGTCTGCTTCTGATCTTAAGAGAATTTCACTTTTCTTACTGCGTTTATGTGAAAAAAAAGTGAGTTCCCAAGAGTACAAACAATTTTTCTACATCCGGTGAGGGGTAGAACTCAGACTCAATTTGAACTTGTCATACTGCCTGCCAAACTGACTTCTCCTGACATCCCTGACGGCACCATCATTCTCCTGATCACCCAGGATCAAGATGTCAGTCTTTCTGGATGTGTCCCTTTCCCTAACTTCCCATATTAAATCCCTCTCCAAGGGAAGACAAATCCTGCAGGTCTTATCTTGAGCTCTTTCTTATACCTATTCCATCCTCCCTATTCCACTGCCACCAACATCATTTATACTCCTGTGATTGAAGCAAAGGCTTGAGGTCAAGGAGTGTATGTATACACTTGCCTTGGGCATGTCTCCTCCTTGGGGTGGTGGTAGTGAAGTGAGGTGAAGAGATATAAGAGAATGAGGTGTTTGGGGTCCTGGGCCTGAGTCCATGCCATCTCACTCTGTTTCTCTCTACCCCTCATGTTAAACATGACTTACAGAACCTGGGAAACTTGGTCTCAGCACAGTATACTTATTTGCTGTTGCCAGTATCCTTTTCTTAGGAGAGTAGCAGAACATCTGATTCAGAGAGCTCTTTGAAAGGTTGCCTTCTCCTTTGGGCAAGGGAACCAAAGACCAATTGACCATCTAAGCATTCTTAACTCAGTTTTATTTTACCTAGAAATAAGGAGAATACTGTGCTGAGGAGAATGGGGTTACTTCTCCTTAAGAAATAGTTATAGATTTTGGTGTTGGATAGAGAAGGAATCCAGGTCCAAGATGTGCTGACTCCAGCTGTGGTGCATCCTCTTAGGGTGTGTCTATGAATCCCATCACACATGTAGCTCACATAAGGGGTCTTTTACTTCTGTGGAAGATTGCTCCTGAAAGAGACTCCTTCCAAGGAGATGGGAGTTTAAGTGACAAAAATCTCAAGAAACCTGGTTAATTTATTCAAAATGTGAGTGCAGAAGCTGATAATTCAGCCATTCTTTGAACATAAACTTTATTGTGTAGAACACTTATCATATTATAATGATTTGTTTACTTGTCTCTTCTCTGCCTGGATTCAAGTTCTGGCTGTGACAATGACTAGCTGTGGGCCATGGATAAGCTATTTAACTGTGCTATGCTTCAGTCTCCACACCTATGCAAAGTGAGGATAGCACCTACCTCACAGAAGATTATGAAGATTAAATTGTGAATTTAAATTCACAATGTAAAATTAAATTGTGAAGATTAAATGTGTGAACTTAGCTTTCCCTCCCTAGGACCTGGTACCATGCCTGACTCATGGGTACTCAGTAATTATCTGTGAATTACTTTAGTAGCAAAATTTTCTGTAAACTTCTTTGGAAGGCTGATCTTAAAGAATTTCTTTGTTGAATTACAAACTAAGTTTCGGGAGGAGAATTTGGACAAAAGATACTATTAGTCAGATGGAACCGAAGATAAGATCTGTCTGTAAAGAGAAGTTGAAACCAGATAAATGTTTTGAATATTTTATGACTGCACTTGTGAAACATTAGGATATCTCCATTCTCACATTTGGGTTGGTTCTTGGACTTGCCTTCTGTGTCACATCCAAGATGGCTAGAAGTTGATTTGAATTTCCTCCCATAAAGTGTGGACTTTGGGCACTAGACACTTTTTGTTATCTTACTTCCCCAGGCATGGTCTCCCTCTAATATCCCAAGCATTTGGAGCTCGTATCCTTTATTGGACATGCTAGTTCACATTGTCTTAGGACATTTAGGGTGGACATGGTTTGTCATTTACTTATTATAGGTTCACTTTAAATTTTAGTTGGATGTAGCTTTTGCTGGAGAAGGACAGAGTCTTATTTTTCTTTCCCTCTTAGGAACATGTAAGAATGGTGAACTGTTTGCTGATTGATAGGTCTAAAATTATGTTTGTTCCACATGTTTAGAAATGTCATTTCTGAAAGGGAAGGTGTTGAATAGTCTTCTCTGGAGATCTTTAAAAATAGCAGTGTTTCTCACCTGATTGGGGTATGGAAGGGAGGTTTGGGGAGGCTGCGAAATGGCTTCTGCTTCTGAAGTTGGAATTATTTGAACTTTAGTTTGAATGCACACTTGAAAATCACGTTTTAAAATGACAGGATATTCTATGGCAGGCTAGTCTATTCAGGGGATAGGGCTGGGTTCAGGCGAGAGATGCAGGAACATGAAAAGAGGTACTTTGGTTCAGAAACCAGAAAAGTAAGGGTAGAGGGCAACAATAAAAGCAAAAGCACCAGGTCTCAGGCAAGACGGTAGGCATTATTTGGCATTGCAAGGCCAATTAAATGGGTCTAAGAAGAGATATACTAGTTTTCTGTCACTACCATTGTAATATTGCACATGTGAGGCTTAAATCAACACACGTTTGTTCTCCAGGTCATTAGTCAGGTATAAGACTCACCCAGCTAAAATGAACTTCTCTATCCGAAGTCTCTCCGGCATCTCAGACTTAACATGTCCGCAGCGGAGCTTCTGCCTTTTAACCCGAGGCTGCTTTTCCTCCTGTCTTCTTCATCTCATCAAATACCAGTTCTATTCTGGATCTGCTCATGTCAAAAACTGTGGACTCGTCTTCAACTCCTCTTTCTCATAAGCCCCAGTCAGCAAATCTAGTTTGCTCTGCCTTCAAAATTATGTAATCAGTCTGATTATTTCTCACTGTCTGTAGTTTGGATTCTTGTGGTAGCATTTTTTTTTTTTTTTGTGGTAGCATTTTAAACTGGTTTTGCTTCCTCTACTCCTGTCCCATTTTAATGTATCCTTAGCATAACAGCCACAGAGATCTGCTAACGTGAAAGCAGAATCTGTCACTCTGCTCTTCATAGCTGGTTGGCCCATCTTACTCAGAATCAAAGCCAAATACCTTCCGGTGGCCTAACAGGGCAGGCAGGCCTGTCACTCTGGCCCCACAGGGCTCTTCAGTGATGTCACTTGTCTACCACAGAGTCCATTTAGAGCAGTACAAAATTTCCTACCTGCCTGTAGCCAAGGGTCATCCTTGGTTGAGGAGACAGACTTGGGGTCAAATAGGGACACCGGTTCTTCCACATTTTCTGGTCTACCTCAGCTTTCTTCCAGTCCCACTGTGACAGCCCCAAGTCTCAATGGAGGGGCTTTTCCTGTCTAACTTAAAAGGTTGATAGAAAGATGTTTCCTGACAGGGTTCCATGCTCCCCAAACCAGGGACAAGCCCTAGGGACATTTCTGGTTCTGCTGCTCTTATACACAGTCAGCCCAGTAACGGATGCAGCTGGTGCTACTGAACTACAAACCAGTTGCTGGGGTTTGCGGAAGGGGCAGGTATTCTTAGAGAAAAGGGATGGAAGGGAGTGGTTCCTATTTTATGTTAACGACATCAGTCTTCCAGTCTTCCAGACATCTTTCTGCTCAATTGGCCACACTCCTGGAGATTTTGTGCAGGAAACAAGCATCTTTGCAAACAACTGTTCCTTGCTGTTAATTCAGCAGCTGGTAATAAGGTGAAGGCAGACAAAGCCTTTCCTTAAGGGATGTCAGAGTAGGCTCAGTGAGGTATGAACCCTCATGCCTCCTCTTGCACTGTGCTTGCTACCTAGAGGGTTCAGTGCATGCTTATTGTACTGAAATATTTTTTAAAAAGTTAATGAACATCGAGCTGAAATCAGTCACATACAAATAACATCTAGATGACACATCCCTTACTATCACTGGGATTCAATATCAGAATAATCAAAGGAACTAAGAGGGGGCTAGGATAGTCCATGGGTCTTTTAGGTCATCAGAGGTGGCAGTGGGGTTGATGTGTTTTGCTTTTGTCTGATAGGTCATTGCTTGTGAGCAGCAGTATGACTCTTCCTATGACGCTCGGTGTGACGTCTGGTCCTTGGGGATCACAGCTATTGAACTGGGGGATGGAGACCCTCCCCTCTTTGACATGCATCCTGTGAAAACGCTTTTTAAGATTCCAAGGTAGGACACAAGATGGCGCTCTTGGCTCATTAGTTCTTTGTGAAAGAGGCTGGTTAAGAGAAATAATAAATAGTTCGTGAGCAATTTCTGGCCAAACCAGAGAAAGCCTGATTATAAAATGTATTTCTTTTCTGGGAAAATAGGGGGAGTGGAGGAGAAAAGAGGATGGATGTTCCTGAAAGACAGCATATCCCAAGAAAATAGGACGTGTTGTAACCATTGCATGTATTTTCAGTACTTTGATTTTTCTGAAATACTCCTTTATTGTGCTTTGCACCAGAGGACTAAAATGCAATTTTGGATTAAGTAATCTGTTTACATACCAGCGTTTTCCTTTTAATTATATAATCACATCTGGTCATTTTGTTTGTTTGACTCTTAAATATTCAGGAAAATTTGGGGATGAAAAAGTGAGTATTATATTTTCATATCTACTCAGAGCAGCACTAAAATAAATATCAGAAAAGTAAATCAGTTAAAAGACCTTCTTTCCATCCTGATTTCCATCTCAATGGGACATTGTGCTGAAAGAGGTCCGTTTGGAGGTCATTTAAATGCCAGTATATTTTCTATTGTATGTATTCATAAGAGGTTTGTGCAAGAGGTTTGGTTGTTTGTTTTTCATCGGAATCGGGCTTCTGTTTGGCTGCTTAAGCTTCTGGTTACCGAAAAAGAAGTAATCAGGGAGCTCTGTCCTGGCCGGGTTGCAGATTAAGAGATTTATACTCTCCGAAAACATTTCTCTCTCAAAGGAAGACTCTGGGCGGGCTCACTACTTTAACAATGCAAGTGTTAACCTTTCCTTATCTGTACAATCACACAGCCTTTAAAAATTTCGCTTGATTGCAATTTGCATTTCTGATTAGGTCTATTTATATGCAGATGAGGCTCTGTGGCGTTCTTCATCATAATGTTATCGTTTTATACCTAATCCAGATGTGAACAACCACCCACCATTATTCCAAAAATGATTCCACCCAACTCAGGGTTGGTCTTTTTGCCTTTTCCAAAGTACAAAAACAAGTCCAGGCAATTAGAAGACAGACAAAGCGACTGACTTTTAAAATTAATGGTCTGGTGATCATTCAAAAAGATGTAAGAATGCAGGACCAAAACCAGTATTGTATGCAGTAATATGTCAGAAAATGAGAAATGGTGTCTGGGATGATTTGTATATGTGCTTTGATTTTTACAAATCATTTACTTTTCACAGTTTATTTACTGAGACCACATAATTTCCCAAAGAGCAGAATTAAGTTGTGGCTTCTCATTAGCAAGATAGTACTTTTGATAAGAGATCATCTACTTGGGTGTATTTTTTTCTTTCTGTTTTTTAACATGTGTTTATGTACAGACCACCTGTTCAAAAATTTCATAGGGTGGTAAATGTGAGGCCGCTTAGAAGGGCTATGTGAGTGTGTTTGTGTGTGCACGCACATGCGTGTGCATGTTTAAATAGACTTTGTCTTGGTTGACTCCTCTGAGCTTGCTTCTGTGCAGCCAAGTCTCTGGTCCCTAGTAATCTCTGCATCCCACTTCTTCCATCTTGGGAGAAACTTCCAGATCTGAAACACAAATAACCAACACCCCACTGCCTGCTTCCAGACAGGGTGAACCCCAGGAACAAGACGATTGCTAGAAAAAGATCTCAGGGATAACAAGGATTCTTACCAAACATAGCTTGAAACTTTGTTTTTCTCCTCCTAATGTAACCTCCTGCCCTTTTACAACATCTCTTGGTTCCTGCCCAAGTGATGAATCAGATTGAACTAGGTAATGTCAACAATAATCAGTCAGCAGATCCTTAGTGCGGTTATATGTGCTGAACACTTGCCATTGTCCCAACCTTAGCAGTCAACTTGACATTCCCTGGGCAGGAAGGATAGAGGTGTTTTGTGTTTTGTTGTTGTTGTTGTTGTTGTTGTTGTTTTTTAATGTAGCATAATTGCATACACTGCATAGCTTTTTATACTCATTAAGTTATTTACTTAAAAATTACCCTGAGAATTAGAATCATGCAGTTCTCTTACAAAGTATTGTGAATTGACAAAGTGCATGTGTGTGCGCGCTATTTTAATTTTGAGTGCTAAAAATGTACATTTCCTCAGAAAATCTCTCCGAGAGGAAAAATTAAGCATTTATGTATTTTAAATAGGCACTCAGATTTACCTGTGTGCTTCATGGGGTTCTCTCTCTCTTTCTCTCTCTCATTCTATCAGCATTTTCTTCCCTGATGGGGAAAAGAAAATGGCAAGTAACGACAAAAATCCTTTGAATCCGTTTGGCTTCTAATTTTTTTTCCTCTTTGGTTATGAGTGTTTTAGGTATTCTGGAATTCCCTTCAGTTAAGCAGTGAGGTCCATTTCAGAGTATTCTGGGATCCAGAACACTGTATGTGGCTTCTTGGCACTGTATGTGTCTTTCCTCACTTGCCTCTTCCCTTTACAACCTTCTTTACCAGTAATAAACTGAGTAAATTACCAAAATAAGGGAAGAAAAGAAACCCTTTACTGAGTAAGGAAAGACCTGACTTTCACAAGTTACAAAGGACTTAGGAATTAATGAAGTGTTGCTTGCATGTGAGGTGAGAGCCTCAGATGTCAACAAAGCAGATAATTACATAGGTTCCCTGGACACTGTCAGGAACTATGAAGCGAGACCTGCCTGAATGTGGTTGACTTGCCTGCACCCAGGTCTCCTTGCTCTTTCCTTCTCTGCCTCCATTTCTTTTGGAGCACCTTCCCCTTTCTTTTGACCTTCACGTTAGAAGATGACACATGGAGTAATCGTGACCGGTCTTTGAAATACTGCGTGACTCACTGTTTTTCTCACATCGCAAACACACAGAAATCATCTGCTGTTATGACAGCACCCGCTATTTGCTGAACCTGTCAGCGTGTGTCATCTTGTCTAATGCCTTTGCTCCAAAAAAGTCACCGCTCTCTGACAGTTACTGCTCTGTCTGCTGCTATTTTTCTCTAGGAGTTAGAGGAAAGGCAAAGAATGAAAACCATTTCTCTGGGCATCCGTGGATTTGACACCATCTCTCTGATGACTCTCCTGAGGACTCCTTTAAAATTTCAAAGGCTTAGAAGGATCTTGCAGATGACCTGGACATATATTTTTTTAATTTTTAAATTAACATATAATGTATTACTTGCCCCAGGGGTACAGGTCTGTGAATCATCAGGTTTACACACTTCACAGCACTCACCATAGCACATACCTTCCCCAATGTCCATAACCCAACCACCCTCTCTCTACCCCTCCTTCCCGTCCCCCCAACCTTCAGTTTGTTTTGTGAGATTAAGAGTCTTTTATGTGTTGTCTCCCTCCTGATCCCATCTTGTTTCATTTATTCTTTTCCTATTCCCCAAAACCCCCATGTTCCCTCTCAACTTCTTCATATCAGGGAGATCATATGATAGTTGTCTTTCTCTGATTGACTTATTTTGCTAAGCATAATACCCTCTATTTCCAGACCTGGATGTATTTTTCACTTAAAAGGAGATCTGTTTCATAGATGTGATTGCAACAACCCATAGAGTTGGGAGAGGATATTTATCTCAACATATACATTTATGTTGCTCTTTTGGCAATCAGATAGCTTTCCTTAGCTTAGAATCTTTGGCTAAGGATCTCTTTGACCTCCATAGATGGGAGTCAGAAAGGTAGTGGGGACCAGTGCAAGTGTATTTATTGGACACCATCTAAGAGCCTTATTGCTTGCCCGTTTATTTGGCGCCAGATAGAGGCTGATTCTGTCCACTGTCTTACCACACATCAAGTACTTCCACTTCATTCCTTGTGGAAAAATGCAGAATGTTTTCAGGGTTCCTAGCCAAATGTCTTTGGCTGGGAGTAGATGGGACAGAATGGCCTGAACATTCCAGTCTCTGAAGCCAGTGATTTTCCCTTCCTAAAGAGAAGTTTCCCTACCGTATGCTGAAAAAAGAACCTCATGATAATTACCAGCTCATGTTTGGGCTTGTTTTCATCGCCGAACTTAGGTTGTTCCAAACTGTACCCAAACTGTACGTTATTTTCCTAAGACTGCACAACAAATTGCCACCAATTTGGTGTTTTAAAACAATACAAATGTATTCTATCACAGTTCTAGAGACCAGAAGTCTGAAATCAAAATGATGGCTGAGCGATGCTCCTTCTGAAGGCTCTAGAGGAGAATTCTTCCTTGCCCCTTCCAAGATCTGGTTACTTCTGGTATTCTTTGATTTGTGGCAGCAGAATCCCAATCTCTGCCTCCATTTTCATGTGGCTTTCTTCTCTGTCTCTTGATGTCTTCTTGTCTGTCATGTCCTAGAAAGATAACTTGTTACTGGTTTAGGAAAACCCATCCTAATCCAGAATGATCTCATCTCAAGACCCTTGTCTTAATTACATCTGCAGAAGATTTTTATCTCAAATGAAGACACATTCTCAGGCTCCAAATGGACAATCTTCTGGGAGCCACAGTTCAAACCACTATACCATCAACTTTCATGTTTTCTAAATTCCCTGAGAAACTAATTTGGGGCAGAATCTAGGTAGCTAGCTAAATGATGATGGAAAAATAGTAATAGCTTAGATTGTGGCTAGCGTGGTACTATGTGTTTCACGAAAATAAATGCATCAATCGCTATAGTGACCTTGTGAGGTAGAGACCATCACCACCCTTTTTTTTCTCGAGGAGAAAACTGGAAGCCCAGGGAGAAAGCCCCTGTTTATGCACCCAGGAGGAAAATGGTTTGAATCTGAGAACTTTGACTCCAAAGCCCACATCTTTTACAGCTACAGCTGATTCTTGCATAGCAGTGGCACCGACCCTCTGCGGTTGAAAATCTGTATTTAATTTTTGAGTCTCCCAAAACAGAACTACTTATAGCCTACTATTGACTGGAAGCCTGACAGATAACTTAAACCGTCAGTTAAAACACATTTTGTATGTTATATGTATTATATACTGTATCCTTCAATAAAACAAGCAAGAGAAAATGTTATTAAGAA